ATGGTACGACTCCTTATTCACATGAAAAAGCCGATATTTATAGTCTTGGTTTAGTTTTTTGTGCTATATTTCATGAATGTTTTATTAATATTCAAGACGAGATTACGCTAACATCAATAATCAATGAACGAAACACTCAACTTTCGCCAGATCCGATTGAGGAGCCATTCAATATAGGGGTACAACAGCTATTACATCGTGATCCTCAGAAAAGGCCTCCAGCTCACCAAATTGTGAAAACTATTCAACCACTACTGCTGGGTGATATAGAAGGCTATCGCGGAAAAGATAACAAAAAGCCCCCTTTGGGAATATCAGATGGGTTTTACAGTAATTTTATATTAGAATTCGAACCGGAAGATATTATTCCCGAACCTTTCAGTAATGGTTCACATGATTATAAGGATGTGATTGAACGATTCCGGATAGAGTTCCAGGCAAGGCGCGGAAATGCAGCTTGGAAAATTCTTAACAGTAAACAATTTTCGAACCTTCCACAAAAACATTTTTATCATGGTCTCATGTATTATAAAGGTGTTTATCAAGATCAAGACACTAAAAAAGCACTTGAACATTGGCTAAAAGCTGCTGATCTTGGAGAACCAAAATCTCAGCATAATATTGGATTGTGCTATGAATTAGGTTTGGGCTTTAAAGAGTGGACAGATCCAGAAGAAGCTCAGAAATGGTATACAAAATCTCCACTCTCATATTCAAAATGGAATTTAGGAATGCTGTTAGTTAAATGTGCACTAGAATCTACAGGGGAACAGCGTAAAAAGCTTTTCGAGGAATCTAAATTGTTATTTCTTGACGCAGCAGAACAGGGAAATGTTTATGCAATGAGTGTAATTGCAGAAAGTTACAATGTCGGTGAACTTTTTGAGAAGGATTACAAAAAGTCTTTTTTTTGGTTTCAGAAATTAGCCGATACTGGTTTTACGTTTGCACTAGTTAAATTAGCGTCTGCCTACAATGAGGGTTTAGGAGTAGAAAAGGATTCCGGTAAGGCCAAAGAACTTATCGAGAAGGCAGCCCAATATGCAGATCCGGATGCAAATATAATACTTTCACTTAATAAAATCGGCGAAGAGCGTATTGAATCTTTGGAAAAAGTAGCTCGAACTGGTTATTTGATGGCACAAACCCTTCTCGGTGAACAATTACAATTAGAATATGGTAAATATGACGAAAGAGCCTTGTTATGGATAAAATTAGCAGCCGAAGGAGGACACGAACCATCGCAGCAAACATTAGGAAAAATATATCTCTCAAAATATGATTATTTGAACGCGTTCTTTTGGTTTTCAAAAGCAGCTAATAGTGACAAATATTCAGCAAGAAAGGTCGCATGGTTTTATAACAAAGGAATATGCGTTCCAATTAATAATGAGGTTTCAAATATCTTCAAACTAGGAAGCAATCCGACAAGAAAACGAAAACATTCAATGAGATCGAGTATAAAAAAGACTAGGAGAACATACAGGAGAGCGCGTTCCTAAAATAATATGTCAAAGTGATTATTATAATTAGACGTGAGATAATTTACATTGTAGCTATTATTACAACTTTCACTTCTGTGGTGAAGCCAAAAAACATTAATATTGATTCACCTATACCTATTGGATCGTCCTAACCAGGCTCCTGCATCCGACGGTCTAAGGTAAAAATCACTTAACCTAGGTCTAAAAATATGTAAAGTAGATACAATAAAATTACTTATGACCAAAATTTCCAGGCTCAAAAAACTACGTATTTTCAATCCTCCATCAAAAGGGTTGAAATTTGAATTATGTAAAACACGGTTGCGCGATTAAAATTATGAAAACTCAAATTATATTGTATATACTATTAATTTGTGATCAATAATCAATAATCAAGTGTTGTGTTCTGCTGTATAATTGCCTAAATTAAATATACTATTTATGGTCAACTTTTGATAAAAGAAACTGGTAAAAATAATTTATATTTGTTGATAATCAAAATTTTTGGGTTTCAATTTACATGAAAATATGATACATAAGGTTTTCGAAAAAATACAAAAATTTTTTAAATATTAAAGTTATTACATGTTAAATCTTTTATTTTATTAATATCTATTTTTTTACATTAACTAAACAATAAAACTTTGATTCATAAGTTTTGAAAAATTTTTTAATTTATCATTTTTTTTTATAATTTTATTAAAAATTATTAAAATCGTAAAAAATTTTATTTAAGTATTTTTTTAAAGTTTTAGATAATATAGGAAAACTAATAAAAATTTTTTTTTTAAATCTATTGCAAAAAATTATATTAAGTTATCTTATAAGATAAGCTTAAGCAAAAATTTTTATAAGATATTAAAAATTAAAAATTAAAAAAACTTGTTTAAAAAATAATTTCGAAAAAATTTATTAAAAATTTTATAAGCTTAAATACATTTTTTTTTTAGATTATAAACAAGCTATTTATAAAATTTTATATAAATAAATAAATATTATTATTTAATATATATATATATATTTATTTATCACAAATAAGCATTAAATACAAGACCTTTATTAAACAAATTATTTATTATCATTACATTAATAATTTTTATATAGTATGTAACTAATTGTAATTTATTGCAATTTTTGCAACTAATACACATTGTTATCAAGTAAATATTTATTTATTAAAAATGTCAAATAGCTAATACCTATTCAAAATGATGAGATATTTGCTAGATTAAATATTTTTTGTTAATAAAATTGTCATTATTGTTTAGTATAGTTAAAATTTTATTAAATGTGCTCTCATTTGAATAACTTGATATTATATGAGCTGATAACTATAATTTTTTTTTATTTGATGTCTATTAGTAATAATATAATAACTATAGTTAAGTATTGTTTTCAAATTTTATATAGAATCTTAAAGAAGTAATTTGAGACTTTCTCTTTTTTGTATAAAATATTAAATAAAAGTTTAAATTTTTCTAAGACTAGATTTAATATAATTTTACTTGTCAAATTAATAGTAAGAATTTCTTTTGTACTGTTAAAAGTCAAGTTATTCTTTAATTGTTTTCTTTTAGTAACTGAATAAGTTTAATTCTTTTGAACATTGGGGTTTTTTTTACTTTGTGGACAGTTAAATATATGAAGAAAATTTTTTATATATGTATTATATCTTAAACACAAGTTATCTTTATACAGGTCAAGATATTTTTATACAATCTGAATCTTATTAAAAGTTAATTGGTAATTATTTTTGTTTTGAATATTGTTAATAGTTTGAATTTGACTTGATTGATTTTTTTTTTTTCCTCAATCAGGTTGGTGTCATTTATTTATTAAATCAAAATGAACCATTACAAATATAGATTGTATGTATAAATTTCCCCGACCCAGCTCACCCGTCTAATTTGACTTGATTGATTTTTTTGAGCTTTTTATTAATTTTAATAATAATTTAAAATTCTGCTATAGTAATAGGTTTATATATGATTGATTGGTTAAAAAGAAGATTAAAAAGGTTTGTATAATAGTTAATGAATTTAATTCATTAGATTATACTTATAACATATTTATTATTAATTAAAAAAATAGTAATAAAACTTGAGAGTAATAAGATTGAAATTATGATTGTTATATCTTGAAATATTGAAATTGGGAATTCTCTTGAATCAATAATTCATATTAAATTCAATTGATTTGATTTGATTTATTAATTTATATTGCTAATGTTATTGCTATAGGAATATTTGACTTGACAATTAATATATTTAGAAATAATAATTATAAGTTAATATTGGGAATAGCATATAATAATAAAATAGGATGTAATATATTTCAAAAAGTTGATAAGTATTGACCAGAGTTAACAATTAAGTTATATTTAAATTTGAATAGCACAATTATATAGTATTAGAGTTTTATAATTATTTGTGAAGTAAATATTAAAATTATTTGATTGGATTTATTATTTAATTATGTAAAAAATAATAAGAACAATAAAAGTTAATAATAAGAAAGGTATTAGGCTACTTGTTAGTATATAAAGATTATTAAATAAGTAATAGGAGCTGTTTTTTTTTTGTTGTTCAGGTAAACTTTAATTGTATAATATTTATGAACTTAAGATATATTTGTATATCACAGAAGTATTTTGTAAAAGTTTGAAATTGAAAATAATATAATATATATTAATAATTGTTTTCTAAAGGATAGCATTCTGTCTGATCTTGATTAAATTAATATTATTATATAAGTTCAAAATAAGAATCTTTTATTGAATAATAAAAGAGAATTATATATGAGATTATTATTATAGGTTGAAATATTTTTAAACCAAAGAGATACTAGTCTTGTTGAAATATGTTCTCAGTAAATATAAAGCTCTTCCTAAAACAACTGTTCTATTTATATATATTTGAAACATATAAAACTAAAAAATAAATAAGTAACAAGATATGTCAGTTTAGTCAGATATGTCTGATATGCTTAATCATGTTACTCAAGTTGCTCAAACTGTTCTGGCTAATCAAGCCAATCAATTCAATCAGGCTGATTCAGCATATTAGTCATATCTGGCAGAAATGTCATATTTACTTGTTATACTATATATACTAAATAACTAATAATAGAAAAAATAAAGTAATATAATACAGAGAGTACATATATTATTGTGAACACTTTTTATTATACAATAAAACAAATTAATAAGCAAAAAAATTTTTTATTATACTAAGTAAATATTTTTATAATATGTTAAAGTATATTATATTAAAATTTCATGTGATTATAATGATTCACTTGGAATTTATAATCAAATTACCTTTGTGCTATAAATTACAATCAAACTGAAATTACAAATCGAACAAAAATCTTTTTTTAAAAAAAAAACTTAAAGCTAAAATATATATATATATATATATATATATTTTTTAAAAAAAAAATTCAAGCTAATATCAAGTCTTAGTATTTTGTAGGGTCTCCATCAGCAACAATGCAAGCTGCAATATGATCTGGCATACTATTCACTAATTAGCAACAAATTTCTGATGAAACGTCTCGTCAGACTTGTTTAATGAGAATTTCGAGATCAGTAAGATTACTAGGCTTTAGTTTGCGACACACAGACGTCTTGACCTTATGCCAGAGATTCTTGATAGGGTTTAGATCAGAGCTTTGGGCAGGCCAATCTAATATCTTGATCTTGTGATCTTCAAAAAATATAGTGGCGATTTTCGAAACATGGGGTTTCGCATTGTCTTACTGAAATAAAGAACGACTACGATTCGTATTTTCCAGATATTTTTTTAAGGTAGGTATGGCATATTTGTGCAAAATCCCAACATATGAAGCCCTGGTGACATTATTAATTAATGGAACTAAAGGGCCAATTCCGTGTCAAGAGAAGCAGCCCCAGAACATACGGCTAGGGCTTTGTTTAACAGTACAGCTTAGGCATTCGGCATCCCATTCCTCATGCGGTTCACACCAAATTCGGGAAAGAACTTGCTGGAAAAGCTAAATAGATGTTTCGTCTGATCAAAAAATACATCTGAAGTGTTAGACGGTCCAGTCCCTGCAAGCAAGACATCAGGTAAGCCTGTTCAATACATTAATGATGGAGATTAGTGGTTTCGGGTATGCAATGCAAGACCTTAAATTTTCTTTTTTTCGGGCACGACGGATAGTGTTTTTTAATACATGGAGTTTGGTTTAAGCAGTGAAAGTAGTGACAACTTGAGCGGTGTTTAAACAATGGTTTCCATTAGTCACAAGAGTTTTAAGAGCAGAACGGTCAGAAGCGGTAAGGAGCAGCGGATGTCCAAGATATTTTCTTTGTGGTTCAGTGGTTCCTACCTTACAATACTTACCTATAATATTTCCTACAGAAAACTTCTTATAGTCAACATTAGCAGCAATGGCACGATATGAGTCACCTCTCAGGTAACCATAGATAATGACTCCTTTTTGTGCAATGGTCAAATCTTTTTCACTACCTATTAAATTTGATTCTTGTTTTTTTAGTCAAAAAAGGGTAAAAACGTGATTTTTTTATATAAAAAAATTAAAAAAAATTATAATACAA